AGAGTTCCACTTTCACCACATTCCCGCCACCACTTACCTTTTTTTTTTTTTTTTTAATCGTAGCAATTTTGATAGGGGTTAGGGTTAGGTGGTATCTTATTGTGATTTTGATGTGCATCTCCCTTATGATGAAGAATATTGAGCATTTTTTCCATTCATAAACTTTTTAAAGGCTCTCTTTCTCGCTCCCCCTTTTTATTTTTATTTTTTTGAGAGACTTTTGCTATAGGATGTGTGTGCTCATTTGAAAGACAGAGAGAGACAGAGAGACAAAATGCAATAAATCAACCCCCAAGGCAAATGGCAATGCTACAATTCCTTTACCTCCATTCTCTTCCTGTGATTTTAGGCATGCACACACACACACACACACACACACACACACACATGCCCAGTGTGAATTTCAAGCCACCAAGTCCGGGAGTTGAACCATAGTCAATCACATAGGAATTTAGTGCCTTAATCACTATGCCACCTCTTGGGCCCAAATACTCCAAATTTTAAATTCTAGTATAATAAAACAGGAAACAAAAGTATTTAAGACAATCAATTTTTACTAGACAAAAGAGGCTTCATAAGATATGATGCTATAAATAGAAAACCCATAAGAATCCACACAAAAAAAACTTCTAGAAGTGATAAATGAATGTAATCAAGTGGTAGCACACATAATCAACATACAAAAATCTATTGCATACAATAATGAATGAACTGAGACAGAATTGAAGAAAATAATTCCATTTAAATAGACACAAAAATCAATAAGTTATCAAGGAATAAACCTTACCAAGGATGTCAAAGATCTCTGCAAGGAAAACAAAACTGTGATAGAAAGGGAAATTAAAAATGATACCAAAAAAGTGGAAAAAACATTTTCTGTTCCTGGATTGGAAGAATTAATATAATCAAGATATCAATCCTACCAAAATTAATCTTCAGATTTAATGCAATCCAATCAAATGACCAGAGATATTCCACACACACACACAAAAAAACCAAAACGATCACAAAATTTATCTGAATCATGAAAGGTCCCATATCACCAGTGCAATACTGTGCAAAGAAATAAGGTAAGAAGCATCTCAATTCCCGATGTCATGTCAAAACATATTACAAAGCTAACATAATTAAAACAGCATGGTACTGGCACAAAAACAGACAGGTAGATTAATTAAACAGAACTGAACTGAGAACTTCCAAATAAACCCTAAAACATACAGCCAACTGTTCTTTGACAAAGGGCAACAGACAATCCAGTGGAGAAAAGAAAATCTCTTCCGTAAATGGTGCTCAGAGAATTCACTATCCACTTGCAGAGGAATGAAACTGGATCCTTATATCTCACCACTAACAAAAATTAACTGAAAAAGGATTCAGTGTCTTATCATAAAACCTCAAACTACAAAAATACTGATGGAAAACACAGGAAAAACTCTTGAAGAGCTTTGAGTAAGCAAAGACTTCTTAAAGAAGACCTCCAAAGCACAGGCAATAGTTCGAAAAGTAGACAAATGGGACTATATTTGCTTGAGAAGCTTCCACATAGCAAAAGAAAAAATAATAAGAATGAGCAGAACATATTTGCAAACTGTACTTCAGATAAGGGACTGATAACCAGAATATACATGGACCTCAAACAGCTTATGCACAAAAATATTATCAATTCAATTAAAAGATGGGAAAACGAACTGAACAGACAATTCTTCAAAGAAGACATAAAACCATTCCAAAAGCATATGAAGACATGCTCAACATCTCTTATCATAAGGGAAAGGCAAATCAACACCACAATGAGATACCACTTAACCTCCGTCAGAATGGGTGAAATTTAAAAAATAAATAATGATAGGTGCTGGTGAGCCTGTGGTGATAAGGAAACTCTCCTACACTGTTGATGAGAATGCAAATTAGTACATCACTTTGGAAAACAATATGGAAATTCCTCAGAAAGAAACCTAACAAGAACTACCATACTACTATGTAATTCCATTCTTAGGCAGTTATTGAAAGGATAGAAAATCCCTCAGTCAGAAAAACACTTGCACATTCATGTTTATTGCAGCATTATTTACAAATGCTAGGACATAGAATCAACCCAAATATCCAAAAATAGATGACTGGACTGAAAAGATGTGACATATGTGCTCTATGGAATAGGACTCAGTCATAAAAAATGAGACTCTGACATTTGTTACAAAGTGGACAAATATGGAAGTCTTAATGCTAACTGAAGAGAGTTAGAATATAAAAGACAGAGTTTGTGTCCCCACACTCAATATATACCAATTGAATGTTGTCTATAGCAGTAACTGAAAGTTTGGAAAATATAGAAGCAGGGAAGTCAATGGTAGATACTAGAGAAAGTAAGGACAAGATTAAAATGGGCGTGGATAATAGAGGTAGAGAGGGGAACAGGGAAAGCAAAGAGTATACTTAATTGTCAATAACATGAAAAGCTATTTGCCGCTGAAATGAGTATAGTAATGTTTTAAGTTGATTGATATTCATGGTATTTGTACTGAGAAAAGCAAAGTTGTATACTGTAAAGTTAAATGTGGTTAAACGTAAATTACAAAAGAAAATACAGAGAAATAATAGAGACAATGAAGACTTGGAATACAAATAAAAGTAATTTAGAGATGGTTGAAAGAATACAGGAGCATGTGCACAGTTTATATGCAAATATTAAATCATTTTATATAAGAAATTGAACCATACACGGATTTCGTTATCTGAAACCAAATCTTGGAACACAACTCCCACAAATAATAGGAATAACTGTATGTTTTTAAATTATTAATAATAGTTGGTGCCAGCAGGTGGCGAACTGGTTAAGGTGTAGGACTCCCACATGACCAATTGTGGTTTAAGTCTATACCTAGTGTCTCGAAATAATGTTGAGCACGTGTGTGTACATACCAGAAATCCCAAGAGGAGAATGTAGGCAAAGGAATTGTGGCATCCCCTTTGTGGGGATGTTTTTTCACTTTCCCACTCACTGTCTCTCTCTCTCTGTCTCTCTTTGGTGAACACATATGTCCTGGAGCAAAAATCTTTAAAAAAAAATAATAATAGTTAATTATGTAATTATGTTACTAAATGTTAACAGTTTGAATTGTTTTATTTCTTTTCCAATTTTTTTTAATTCTAAACATGCTTTACTCCTATGATAGTTTCACACTTTTAAATATAAATATATTCCACTGTAGAAAACATTTTTATTTAATCCTTACTAGTGTCAATCATAGTCAATGCAGTATTTCCCTGCAAATATCTTCTCTATCATCCCAGTAAAAAATGTAGAGCATTGCTACAGAATAATTCATGATGCTTTACATTATGTATCTTACAAGGGAAAAGGCAAAAACTTTTTTTTTTTTTGAGAGGTTTTCGCTATAAGGGCATGTGCGCTCGCCAGACAGACAGAAAGAGAGACAGAAAGCGAGAAATCACCCCACAGGTGGATGGTCACGCCGCAATCCCTTCTCCTCCATTCTCCTCTCGGGATCTTGGGCATGCACGCACATGCGCCTGGCGTGAGTTTTAAGTCACCGGGTCCGGGACGCGAATCGTGGTCGACTACGTGGGAGTCCAGCAACATAGCCATTACGCTAACTGCTGGTCCCACAAGACAAAAACTTTGCTCCAAACTTAACTTGGATTTCTTTAGTCCCTGAACTTTTGTCCTTGGAAATTTGCCAAGAAACCTTCCATACAAATTATTCCCTGGGGATGGCCAGTGTTGCATTATTATTAATTCCCAGCATATAAGACGCTCAGAATCTATCAAGAAAAAAGGCCAATCATATGTCACTTCACTTTGAGTCAAAGTGACTCCTTTATATTTTTTAGAGATATAACTTCCTGGTAAAGTTTCCACTAAAATAGAATCTGAACAAAATTTCTAAGTTAATTATTTCAGTTCAAAATAAAACAAAAGGAAAACACGAAATTTAAAAGTACCTTATATAAAAGAAAACAAAGATATTACAAAATTTTTCAATTCCTTAAATGGTTTTCATATGTTATTTCTGAGGTAAATCCAAGGCCAAAATATTTCTAGGCAGATAATATTTAGAAGAAGTGTTTTATTCCAACAACTTTGGCTCACAGTAAGTATTATTCTCAAAATTGGAGGATTTAAAATAAGATGGAATAAAATAAGGACTTTATCAGAAGAATATAAATGCACATATTATTTATTTAGCATTTACTTTAAATGATGCCAGGATTCATGGACACAAACAGGGGCTGGATTCAATCTCAATGTGCAAAAGAAATAAATATTTTGAAATCTTAATTTTTGAGAGAAATTTAAGTTTTAAGGGTCACATTAGGAAAGTTCCTTAATACTTACATGTGGTCTACAATTATAATGCACTCCACTAAAGATGCCTAACTATAAAGTTTATATGCAATTATTTTTATTTGTAATTAGTATTTTAACTTATACTAAAATTTAAAGAACAGTAAATGATAAATTAATTTTTTTTCAATCATTATTTGTTACCTTCTTTGTTACATAATTTCTCAGATTTGCTAAAGTGAATAGGAGTACAGTAAGAGCATGCAGAGTAAACCTATCTGGGAACAATAAGAGTCAATATTTAATAGCTCTTACTCTGTATGTTAAACTTTCTCTACTCTTTCTCTCAGCTGTGAAATAAATGTGCATATATGTTTTACAATAACTATTGTTATGTAGTATTTTTACAGAGATTAAATGTGCTAATAAAGGAATGCATTTCAAATTGTCCTGCAAAATGGTAGCTTTCATTAGACCACTTTGAAATAGCAATTTGTATCTAAATATACATTTTTGCAATCAAATTACATTTTCCTTTTAAGTCATGTAGTATAATCCATTTCTATTATCAGTTTCTAAAATAGTTTAACTAATTAGACAAATATTAAGTTGTTTATATAAACAAAAACCTTTTTGAAGTAATTCCAGCTTAGTATCAACTCTGATTTCTCTACATACAGAGCAACTGCACAGCATGGGTGGAAGGAATAACACAAATGTGCCTGACTTCATCCTTACGGGCTTGACAGACTCCAGAGAGATCCAGCTGGTCCTCTTTGTGGTATTTTTCCTGGTATACCTCATTACTGTGCTGGGAAATGCAGGGATGATATTGATAATCCGCTTGGATCTTCACCTTCACACTCCCATGTATTTTTTCCTCACTCAGCTGTCATTTCTTGACCTCAGTTACTCAACAGTCATCACCCCTAAAACCTTAGAGAACTTAGTGACTTCTGTTAAGTATATCTCATTCACAGGCTGCTTCACACAACTGTACTTTTTTGTCTTTTTGGGCACCACTGAATGCTTTCTTCTCTCTTCCATGGCCTATGATCGCTATGTAGCTATTTGCAAGCCTCTGTATTACTCGATTACTATGTCCGCAGAACTCTGCTGTGCCCTCATCACTGGGTGCTATGTGATTGGTTTTATAGATGCCTTGGTCAGTGTGCTCTGCATGGTAAAACTGCATTTCTGTGACTCCAATGTAATCCACCACTTCTTCTGTGACACAACCCCGATTTTGGCTCTGTCCTGCACTGACACATACAACACTGAGGTCATGATATTCATTATTGCTGGTTCCACCCTAATGGTATCCCTTACTGCAATATTTGTGTCTTATGTGTTCATCCTCTCTACCATCCTGAAAATCAATTCCACTTCAGGGAAGCAAAAAGCCTTCTCAACTTGTGCCTCCCATCTCCTGGGAGTCACCATCTTTTATGGTACTATGATTTTTACTTATTTAAAACCAAGAAAGTCCTACTCTTTAGGAAAGGATCAAGTGGCTTCTGTTTTTTATACTATTGTCATCCCTGATGCCAGGATTCATGGACACAAACAGGGGCTGGATTCAATCTCAATGTGCAAAAGAAATAAATATTTTGAAATCTTAATTTTTGAGAGAAATTTAAGTTTTAAGGGTCACATTAGGAAAGTTCCTTAATACTTACATGTGGTCTACAATTATAATGCACTCCACTAAAGATGCCTAACTATAAAGTTTATATGCAATTATTTTTATTTGTAATTAGTATTTTAACTTATACTAAAATTTAAAGAACAGTAAATGATAAATTAATTTTTTTTCAATCATTATTTGTTACCTTCTTTGTTACATAATTTCTCAGATTTGCTAAAGTGAATAGGAGTACAGTAAGAGCATGCAGAGTAAACCTATCTGGGAACAATAAGAGTCAATATTTAATAGCTCTTACTCTGTATGTTAAACTTTCTCTACTCTTTCTCTCAGCTGTGAAATAAATGTGCATATATGTTTTACAATAACTATTGTTATGTAGTATTTTTACAGAGATTAAATGTGCTAATAAAGGAATGCATTTCAAATTGTCCTGCAAAATGGTAGCTTTCATTAGACCACTTTGAAATAGCAATTTGTATCTAAATATACATTTTTGCAATCAAATTACATTTTCCTTTTAAGTCATGTAGTATAATCCATTTCTATTATCAGTTTCTAAAATAGTTTAACTAATTAGACAAATATTAAGTTGTTTATATAAACAAAAACCTTTTTGAAGTAATTCCAGCTTAGTATCAACTCTGATTTCTCTACATACAGAGCAACTGCACAGCATGGGTGGAAGGAATAACACAAATGTGCCTGACTTCATCCTTACGGGCTTGACAGACTCCAGAGAGATCCAGCTGGTCCTCTTTGTGGTATTTTTCCTGGTATACCTCATTACTGTGCTGGGAAATGCAGGGATGATATTGATAATCCGCTTGGATCTTCACCTTCACACTCCCATGTATTTTTTCCTCACTCAGCTGTCATTTCTTGACCTCAGTTACTCAACAGTCATCACCCCTAAAACCTTAGAGAACTTAGTGACTTCTGTTAAATATATCTCATTCACAGGCTGCTTCACACAACTGTACTTTTTTGTCTTTTTGGGCACCACTGAATGCTTTCTTCTCTCTTCCATGGCCTATGATCGCTATGTAGCTATTTGCAAGCCTCTGTATTACTCGATTACTATGTCCGCAGAACTCTGCTGTGCCCTCATCACTGGGTGCTATGTGATTGGTTTTATAGATGCCTTGGTCAGTGTGCTCTGCATGGTAAAACTGCATTTCTGTGACTCCAATGTAATCCACCACTTCTTCTGTGACACAACCCCGATTTTGGCTCTGTCCTGCACTGACACATACAACACTGAGGTCATGATATTCATTATTGCTGGTTCCACCCTAATGGTATCCCTTACTGCAATATTTGTGTCTTATGTGTTCATCCTCTCTACCATCCTGAAAATCAATTCCACTTCAGGGAAGCAAAAAGCCTTCTCAACTTGTGCCTCCCATCTCCTGGGAGTCACCATCTTTTATGGTACTATGATTTTTACTTATTTAAAACCAAGAAAGTCCTACTCTTTAGGAAAGGATCAAGTGGCTTCTGTTTTTTATACTATTGTCATCCCTATGCTGAACCCAATCATTTATAGTCTTAGGAACAAAGAAGTAAAAAATGCTCTCACTAGAGTCATGAAGAAGAGAGAAGTCACCAGGCAATGAAAATAGCATTGATGCTAGCCATTTAAACTCTTCTTTCTTTCCTTCAGGTAATTTTATTGGTCTCTCTTTCTGTCTCTGTAAAAATAACGAATCCTTTCATTTGTTTATTCATTTCTGTTGAGTTGCCCTTTACAAGACATCATCTTAGACATTCCCAAGAATATCTTTTCAGAAATTCATATTGAAAGTGGAAATTATAAAATCTTTGTTAAATCTGTTGTCCAAATGAATGTGTTTCTAAATGCAACTCATGTACAAAATGATTGTGGGGGGACTAGCAGTTGGTGTAATGGCTATATCGTTGTGCTCCCATGTAGTTGACTACAGTTCAAGTCCCGGACCCAGTGGATTAAATTGATGTGGATTGCATGTGCATGCATGCCGAAGATCCTAAGAGAATGTAGGAGAAGGGATTGCGGCATGGCCATCTGTCCTGGGGGGTGATTTTTCACTTTCTGTCTCTCTGTCTTGCTTTGTCTTTCTATCAAGTGCACATGCCCTGTAGCAAAAACCTCTCTCTCTCTCTCTCTTTCTCTCTCTCTCTCTCAGAGAGAGAGAAAACACGATTGTCATGTTTTAAAACTATATTAAGTAAATCCCCATGCATATCACATTTTAGAGAATTTCAGTATAGAAGAGGGCTAGACTTTTGGCACAGTATTAACTGTTTCATATTGCTTATGTTCGTTCATCACTCCACTTTATGTTTATGTTCTTCCTCCTTAGAAACATCCACAAGACTTTAGTCCAGCACCATCATTATATTCACAATTGTTAAGACAGAAAACATAGTCTCTGTTAAATAACACTTTTGCAATATGTAGTGAGTAATGGTTTGGGGTTTGTGAACACAATGTTTATATGTGTTAAATAAAATAGTTTTAGCAATTAATATCATCTTTTAAAATCTATGAAAGTCTAGTGCTGGTAGGCGATGTGGTGGTTAAGGCACTACATGGCCAACCTTACTTGGAGTCCTGGAGTCAGTGCCTAATATCACAGTGGGCACATGCACCTGCATACCCAAAATCCCAAGAGAAGGAGGAAGGGGGAGGCATTGCAGTATGGTCATTCCTCCTGCGAGGGTGTGATTTCTCATTTCCTTCTCTCTGTATCTCTCTGTCTCTCTCCTCTCTGACTAGTGCATGTGTCTTATGCAACTAAATATTTTAAAATAAACTTTTCTTGGTTGTTTCTAAATAGTCTGTATTTTCTTTCTGAATAGTCCCATTGCCAAATATTTGGATCATATTCTGACATAACAGCACATGGCATTTGTCAAAAACTAAGTAATTCCCATTAGTGTTATAATAGTTTTCTAAAGTAAAAATATTGCTTAATAAGGTGATCTTTGAAATGTACTAGCAAGCTTTCTGAAGGGTATCTTATAATCAATCATACACTAAGATTTAAATACGCATGGAGTCTACTAGAGTATTTATTGCTTTAAAGGACTTTTCCATTAGACAAAGTAATTTATATTAAAATGTATATATGTAGCTTCTCTACTTTTTGAATTGCTTTTGTCAGAATATTCCTAATAATATAATTCTTTGGTAAAACATCAACATTCTAAAAAATAAATAAATAAATAAAATTAACATTCTATTGTAATAGCTTGCTAAATTACTTTCCAAAAGATTTGTCTAAAACTAAATTCTTTCATTAATGCATTGATTACGTACATTTAAGTTTACTCACTATAACCTACCAGATAGAAATAATAAATATGTTATGTAATAAAAATCTCATAATGAGAGGAAAAATATAAACCAATTATGTGAAAATTAATGAAAATAGAGTGAGTAATCACACTTTTCTTTCTATGAGTTAACTATATAAGAAACAATTTGAGGACATATGTTTAATGTTCTTTTTATTCAAAAGTATAATTGATTATATGATCATTGTACCTAAATCATGAGAAGAGAGGTAAAATCAAATAAAGCAAATAAAATTCAAGAGTATAGATTTTTAGAAATCAATCAATCAATCAATCAATATATAAATAAATGAAATATTAGAAGCTTAAGATAAAGGTATTGCCTAGCAACATTGTTAAAACTCTGATATCTTTAGAAATTTATTTTAAAATTATGAATTGTCAGGGTAAATTTTCTTAATAGCTTTTGCCTAAAATATAAACAGGAAACAAAAGTTGACCTACCAAGTCTAGCAAGACCTTACATTACAATGATGGTTTCTCAGATAATCACCAAAGCAACTTGGCAAACAAATATTTTTCTGAAGTTTGTTTCATCTCCTGAACATTGTGATGACCTTGTTTCTGAAAATAATTTTAAGCTTTTTAAAAAGCATATTCCAGGACCAGAAGGTGGCATCTGGGTTGGGGCACTGGATCCCACATGTCCAGCTGTGTGGTTTGAGTGCCAGATGTAGCAGCTTTAAAGTCCCTCCAGGTATGTGTGTGTGCATGCTAAAATTCCCAAAAGAAGACTAAAAGAAAAGAGCCCCATAATTTTTTTTAATTGGAGGATTGTCATGAAGTGATTAGTTTTATAGCATTTAAAGTCATGTAAGATTTTTTTAAATAGTGCACTTGAAAATAAATATTTATTTAATTACACTGACTACAGAGAAGCTATATAGAAATGCATTTGGACTACACACATTGAGATTTTTACAGTATGTAATATCCCAGGATCCAGTGAGTTGCTACAGAAGATAAAGATTACTTGAAAGATTTAAGCCAAATATGTACAAGTTGATAAAACTTTGCAGGGAGAAATTTAGATAGCAGGTGGCTGTTTTGTGTATTTTATTTAAGAGCATCATTGCAATTATGAGGTATTTTGCTTGTTGTGAGCAAATGGACTATAACTTACTAATATCAAAAACTGTAAATGAGGGCCAGCAGATGACATACTGGTAAAGGCACTGGATTCTCACATGGCCTACAGCAGTTTTAGTCCTGGACCTGGTGGCTTGAAACTCATGCCAGCCATGTGTGCATGCATGCCCAAAATCCCAAGAGGAAAATGGAGGAGAAGAAATTGCAGTGTGACCATGACCCCCAGGGAGTGATTTCTCACTTTCTGTCTCTCTCTCTCTGTCTCTCTAATGTAAATGATCTTTTTTTTTGGCACACTGCTCCTCTTTTAGACTAATTAAACTAAAATACTCATGTACCTGCCCTAGGCTTCATTACTGTCATTTTAATTTTCACCCCAGCTTTCTTTTTACTGAACATCCTGCGAAATACATTGCTCAAGATAACTAGTGAAGTCTGAGTATAGATACTTTCATATTTTTACTGGACAAATATACTGTGTATATTTTTCATGATATACTTTTTTTTGGGGGGGGGAGATTTTCACTATAGGGCGCGTGGGCTCGCCAGACAGACAGAGAGACATAGAGACAGAACGCGAGAAATCACCCCCCAGGGGGGATGGTCACGCCGCAATTCCTTCTCCTCCACTCTCCTCTCGGGATCCTGGGTACGCACTGACACACGCCTGGCGTGAGTTTCAAGCCACCGGGTCTGGGACACGAACCGTGGTCGACTACGTGGGAGTCCAGCAACATAGCCATTACGCTAACTGCTGGTTCCCCATGATATACATTTTTATAAATGTTTTGAAAACCTGTCAAAGTTATTGGATTCGATGCTGCTGATTCTGTCATTGAGATAATCCTCACGTTTAATCTAGTCATTCATCATTACTGCTGTCTCTGTTCAGGTCCTTATTTCTCTAATTCTA